TGGGTGGAGGCCGAGGCGTGAAGTGCGTCCATCCCACCGCTCCTTCTCTGAGGCGGGAGCGGCTCGGCCGAGCGTGGGGAGAGGGTTGAGCCCGATGCTGGTGACAGCGAAGGAAAAAGAGTTAAAAGTTACTTGAGCTTCCTAATTAAGCAGCTCTGTGTGACCCACGGAGGAGCAGCCGGCCTTGGCCGTGTCGAAACCTTAAAGAAGAACAGGACAGAGAGCCCCAAGGTAAGAGCAGCTGTAAATCTCTGCCGGGGTGCTGGCTCAGATACACCTACGTGAACCTGGAGCAGAGTCAAGAGGGGAGCGTCGCCGGTAGCTACCTTAGATTAATGAGAGTACTAAAAATCACGCCCCTAGGAGGAGGCTTTATATTTAAATATAAGCCCACCCTCATATAATGAGCTGGGCCAAAACTGGGACTGGCAGGAACGAGTTTTTGTACAAAGTGACCAACCAACCGCTTCAGTGTTGTTTCTTCTTTGTCACTGTTTTGTCTAATTTGTCATTTCTGAGGGGTGTGCTGGCTGCTGTGAAGAGCCTGGCACCCTCCTCTGCGGACCAGCAATAAAGACAAATATCCCTATTCAGTGTGTCGATTGAGTCCCGCACACGGGGTGAAAAACCCTGATTTTGGGACAACAGCTCCCCGACCGGAGGCTGCCCGGCTGCTTCCCCCCGCGGGGAACGCCTGGAGGAATCCCTGCCCGGCGTTAAGCAGACATAGGCAGGAGTTCCTTCGAGTTAATTTTTGCTTGGTTTTTCATCCTGGCAGCTGGGCTGTTCTGCATTCTCCTGCAGCTTCCCCCTGGGACCCTCCACGGGCTGTGCTGGGGTCCGGTGAGGCACGGTCAGCAGCGCAAGGGCTTCAAAGATGTTCAGAAAACAGACCCTCACTTCCCATGTGATGCTTGAATCAGAAATTTTAATTAAAGTCCTTCATGTTGCCTAGATTCGGATGTCTGGATTAGCCTATGCCACGTAGATTATGTCAAGGAATTTCTGTGGGGGTAGGGGGAAAGGCCCGGCAGGGCGACGCGAGTTACTTCACGGCGTACCCGATGATGTGAGGCTGAATGGGCGTCCAGGGCAGTGGTACGCTGATGTGTTGTAATTTCAGCTCCGAGAAGCTGGCCTGTTCGAGATTCTTCCAGATCTCTCTCGTTAGGCAGCATCCAGCAAAGACGAGTTTCCAAGTCGGATAGCAGACCTGCTGCCAAAAATACCTCCAGCTGGAACGATCAGCGGCCACGTGCTCTAAGAAATAGAAAACGCCTCCCTGGGAAAAACAAAGTCGTCTTACAGAGAGCCGCAGCAGGCGCTGGGATCATGCTGAACCTCTCCCTCCATCCCACCTCCTCTCAAACACAAACCACGCTCACCCGTCAGGATTCTCCCAGCCCTTCCCTGCCTGCTTTTTGCTTTTGTGGCGTCTGTTGGAATTAATGTAAGCAGGAAACTCGCAGAGATTCAAAATGCCTATTCAAAAAGCGTGAAGGATGTACTTATTTGATCCCTCTTTCATTATAGTAATAATTTGTTGTCTTTTTGTTTCAATTACAGTTGTTAGCATGTCATTTTTTCCCAAGGAAACTAAGAGAAATGTATAAATCCTACTCAAACTCGTCAGTTTTTGACAACCCAGAGGACTGTCTTGAAAATGCCATTTTGAAGGCTGAAAGTCAATTGCAGAAATACCTCAACAAACGAGCTTTTTTTAATCTTTAGCTTGGTTGGTACACTACAGGGAATGAAGGCATTTAGTGCGGCTGGTTCAGTCATACGGGTAGAGCAGCCCCACTTCCAAGAGGCCGAAGCAATTTATTTAAAATGCAGACTTTGATCCTTGATCAGCGAGCTTCCCACCCAAAGAAAATCTGGTGCATGTAGGGAGGGGCAACCCCACAGGAACTGGTTCTGCTTTAAGCCATACACCGTGACTCTTCCCTCTGAGGGTGACGGAGCCCTGGCCCAGGCTGCCCAGGGAGGCTGTGGAGTCTCCTTCTCTGGAGATATTCAAGACCTGCCTGGACAAGGTCCTGTGCAGCCTGCTCTGGGTGACCCTGCTTCAGGAGGGTTGGACTAGATGACCCACAGAGGTCCCTTCCAACCCCTACTATTCTGTGATTCTGTGATTCTGTGACTCCTTCCAAAACCAGTGCCGGTTCTAAGTCAGCAGAGGGTTACTTTGAGGCTTTTACTTTCACGCCCAGGACAGACTGACTGACCAGTACGTTGCTACTGCTT